GCAATTTTCCACATCCATCAATCATTTTAAGCCATCTGAATGAAAAGAGAATGAAATTCATCATATTGTTGTTTTATAATCACTGTCAAAAAGGCAGCAGCTATGGAAAGGAATAGGGGAGATTCAGTTATGATGTCTGGCATTTTTAAGGGTGTCTGGAGTTTTACAGAACTTTAGTGAAGAAGATTAAGATGAATTAAGCTAGTAGGGACAGCAATGAAAAAGGATTAAAGTGTTTGGAGATGTCGAGAACTGTAACGAGTTCTTTTAAGCAGGATTAGACTTCAATATTGAGTAGAGAGGGTGCCTGGATCTAGGTAGGACTTTATAAAGTTATTTAGATTTTAATAAAGTTGACTGGTGCTGTTAGAGCTGCAATTACTGAGTCAAACACTGTTCATGCTTTTATGCAGGATGTTGAATGGTTTTGAATCTGTTAAAGACCACAACGAGGACCTAGGTTGATCTGGAGCTATATGATACCCTTAAAATATTTTTTTCTAAAAAAATCATGTGACAAATTCAAAGACTGTGTCAAAAACTCAAAAATATTAATAAACATCATTTATGAACAACCCCAAAGCAGAGCAAGATTAATTTTTATGTTGAAAAGGAAAATTTCATTAAAATTCTTTCGTTCATATCCAAAAAAAAAAGAACTTACAAACAAGAGAGAGTGAGAATAAAAGCCATAAAGAATTGATGTTTGTTTGGTTAGCGACAGTTGTTGGCGGTTGAATGAAAGGACGACGCGAAAAATCTCGAGACTTTAATTAAGAGATACAATCCGCGAAGTGATTTATGTTCCATGCCGAGAGAGCAAGCATAAAAATTGAGAGACGCTCTGTTCCTCTCAGTTAACATAAGATTGCATGAATGAATTTTTTCCAACTACAAGAACTGCAATCGGCACATGAAACATTCCATTCGGCAAACTTCCAAGTCTCATGGAACTGCGCATGTCGACACGATTGATAGAAAAATCATGCTGACTGTTATAAAACGTATACGATCTCTGATAATGGAAAGAAATAAAAGCAAAATGCACTTTTTTTTGTACTCTCCTTCTAGTTCCTGTGTATATACTTTATTCCGCAAGAATAGCATTCGACTTCACATCATCATCATCATCATCCAACAATTCAGTCGTCTAATAGAATTCTATTGAAGCGAAAGTGATTTGATTTTTCGGGATTTTCTCGATACGCGTGGTACGGTCGGAGACAGTGAATATAAAAATATAAAGGATTTGAATACGTGATATAAACTGATAAGAAGTGATTGTGTTTTAGATCCAGTGTTGGTGGATTTTTGTTTTTTAATAATAAAAATAGAATTGATATTTTTTCGAATGAATTGTTGTGACATTAAGAAATTAAATGAGTGGGATTTGTGGATTGCTGATGGCATCGAGTGTGCCTTGTTGTTTAGTGTATTTTAAGATTTGCTGGAGGATCAGTTATCAAAAATCTAGATTTTAAGAGACCTCTTCTTACTCGCCGCGTAATCTTCAATTCAAATGACATATTTTGTAATTTTGAATAGCTTTTGAGCAAATGAGATGAATTTCAGTGCTCAATGCTAATCCTTTCGGATACTGATTGTGTATTAGAGCATTCTAAGTATAATATCCATGATTTGTGAACAAGTTCGTAGCTATCTCAACAAAAAAGCTAGTTCAGCAATATCAAAAATTCCCAAAAAATCATCAATTTCAAAAGGTGTTAACCTAAATGCAAAAAAAGTCCATCACAAAAGAAATTGAACAATAGTTTCATCTTCATTCTACAAATTCCACATCATCATCAATGTCATGTAATGTTTCATAAACAATATAATGAAATATTTTAGTCCGGTTGGAGATTCTCATTGTTAGATAAGAAAATTATTGTGATGATGTAAAATGCTGAAGCTTATTTTCTTAGCAAAGATTATTCAACTATTATTATTGCATTCATAACGTGTCGGATGTAGGAAGTTTATTAACGTGTCTAGGATTTATCTCATAAATTATTCAGATTCAAAATTTTTGATGTTGAGGTGCATTTTAGGGGTGAATATGAGATATTTTTAAGAGAATGCGGCTAGACTTGAAAATTTGTAGTTTGAAGGATGAATTTGAGAATGATAAGAGTTTTGGTTTTTTAATCTATGCTGAAAGTTTGAACTAAATATTAAAATTTTAAGTATTTAATCTTATTATCGTCCATAATTCTGTTTGAATTTTAAAAAAATATAAATTTTTGATAATACTAAGTCGGGCAACGGATTGTTTTTAAGAAGATTGTGCTCCATTTTTGAGTAATTCACAGGAATTCATTCAAAAATATCTAAAATTAGATGCCTAACGATTCAAAAATAGACATGTGATTAAAGCAAGAATCATCATTGAATTCATCTTTTTCAATGGAAACTTTTAATATTATTCTGGTGCAGGAATTGGTTTAAATGATTTATATTAAAATTCAGAAAAATCAAAGTTCCAAAAGAAAATTAATTTAGGGCATTTTTGGACTTCCTTCTTTTAATTTAAGAGATTAATGAAATGAAGAGTAGGAAACTGATTAAACTGGCTTTGATAGTTTATGAATATTCTATCTTCTAAGCATAAAGCATGTACTTAATCATTCTAATTACTTCCACAACCTTAAACCAACTGAAATCTATCAAAATCTTAATTATTAATAAACATTGTCTTGAAAAAATCTCGACAAAAATTAAAAATACTATCAATATTTAAACAGATGTCTCTCAAATGTTAGACATCCCCTTATTTAAATTTCCATTCTCAAAAATCCCCCAAAATACCGATTCAAGAAAATCTCTTACTCTAAAAATGTCAATTCATCAACAATCAAGATGATAAATTACCTCAAACTTTTAATTGAAATTGACTCTTATATTTACTTGATTTGACCTTATCCTAAGTGAATCTGTCAATTACTTTCAACAGCTGCTTTGAAACAAAAAACTTTCTTTCGAAACTTGTGCTACTCTTATCTCGAACGACGAGTGCTTCAACATTGTTTCAAGTTCTTACTTTCACCGTATTACCTTAAGTGCTAATTTCGTCATTAAAAAGTTTTTTCAGCATAATTTTCTCTGAATAACTCAAATGTAATCGGTTTATGACTTCAAATGTGGATGATTTCTAAGGAGTTTTACGAGTAAATCATTCAGTCAATTAAGCTTTTTATGTGGACATGTGTGGAAATAAAAGTTGTGATGAGGGTATTCGTCTTTGACAATAAATCAATCTTTTTTTGCTGAATTGGTTTATTTTTGGATTTGAATGGACAGATTTAGATGGAATTGTCATTTTTCAATGTTAAGGAACATCAACATTTATAATTTTAGTCTGATCTTCTAGATCGTCTGAAGAGGTTCTAGATATTAAAGATTCATATTTTAACTTGATTGTTGAATAAAATTTGAAAAATTTAAATTGATTTAAAGAATATTGAGATGTTCTTGAAATATGTCAAGTGTTTTCAATGAATGGAAATTAATTTCAACTTTGCAATTTTATCGAAAATATGCCATAAAAATATTTCATACTTATCATTTCAAAATTACCAGATCCTCCACGTTTTTATAATTTTCCACAATCCAATCAATCTTAATTTGAAGAGTTTTTTTATTATTTAAAAATAATTCATATTTCTCTGTTTGTTTTCTTTCTTCTCAATGAACGAAGATTAACGCTTTTTAAAAATAAATCTCAACGAAAGAAAAATTTTATAAATTCAAATCCATAATTTTCAAATCAATCATCTTTTGTCACGTGTAATCACTCAACCATGACAAAGAAATCATTTTTGAAAATAGGTTAATTGAAATTTTAGATGATTGTAAGAAATGAATTTGAAGGAAGCGATTTATTTAAGTTTAGAAAAATTTAAAAGGTTTTTAAAAATGTTGGTAGTTTTGTTGTTAATATCATTAAGATAATTCTCGTTAAAATATAGAAATCCTTACGAAAATTTAGTTTTAAGAAAGCTGGTTTGAACGAATTTTGTCTAACTTAACAAGACTACTTAAAAGTATCATTTTATTTTGATAATTTCATCAGCTCCACTCCCTTATTTTCTTTCAAGGCGTATACACTCTTGGGATTAATCTCAGAAAAAAAATTAAGCTAAGATTAAAACTTCTTTAAGTGTTAAGCTGACTTAAATTTAAAACAAGAAATAACAAAAATTTTAAAATCTTAAAAATTCTCAAAACTTTCTCATTTCAACTTAAAGCACCGGAATCATTTTTATTTTAGTCTTTGAACATCATTATCAGGAAATACTCAATTTGACCTTAGATCTTCCATCAATCCAAATACATCATCTTTAATTTAGTCACGTTCCTACTCAATCTCTTTAAAAATATCATTCTCTGATCTCAATTTCAACATTGGCACAGTTCGTCCCATTCGACTTTAAGTCTAAGAAGATTACAGAATTTCCGAACTTTAATTTCGTAAAAAAAGGCAAAATTTCAATTCATTCATAAAATATCATTTTTTTGTTCATAAAAATCCACCACAACGAAAAAAGAAAGTTACAATTCATAAATATTACAGCGAAAACATAATCTGCTGAAAAATATAGAGCACGAAATATTTTGATCAGAAAAAAAAATTGTATGCATATAAAAAAGCTGTAATAAGAGCATATATATATCCATGCGAGGGAAAATTTGCATATTGGTGTGTTGATAAAATATTATATATGATATGAATGTATATGTAAAGCTAACATTAGCATAAATATGTTGTGCATTTTTGAAATTAGCTACAAAATTTCTGCATCAAATGTTCAAAAATGAAAATGTGAAGAAAAAAATGTGAAAAAAAAATATTTTTTGTGTGTTGAATATTAAAATAAATTATTATATGTAGACATATTGGCTTTATAGCTATAGTCAGTTAAAATAAAAATAAAAAATAATACCAGAGCGTGAAAAAAAGATGCTGAAAACCACAAAAAGTGCATCATTGGAACATTAACATGAAGCTAAACGGATATATTTGCATCTATTTGTACGCTCTATACACAAATACAATATCGTCATCATTATCTACGGGTAAGTATCTATGTGATGGGATGGATAAAGAAACGGAAACCACGTTGAGAGCGTTGACAGCTCACAAATGCAATAAGAGAAATAATGGGGGAAACTTATGATGGTACTGTGTGATATATGATGTGGAATTACTAGACATTTAAACAAGCAGTTGTAATGATACTGAGGAAGTATTGTGTGTTTTGTGAAAAATAAAAACGTGTCAGGATAAGGAAACATTTTAAGTTAGAAAGTCATTTATGGAAAGTTGGAATTGTTGAGGCTTTGGAAAGCATTTATGGACAATTTTGGTTTAAGTTTCAGTTCCTTACGCCTTTCTCTCTTCATAGACTTAACACGAATAAACGAGCCCTAGCCAAAATTATTTTGTCAGCTTACTTACGTGCGATTCTTGTGGTGAAACAAAACTTCAGAAAAACTCTTTCTATTGTGAAGACGTAGGTTTGATTCCTATCAGATATCAATCTCTCAATCATTTCTTGTAGATATAACAAAGATTCACAATAGCTCACGACATTACAACTCCCAAAGAACCCTGAATATTTAAATAAGTCTGGTCAACAAACTCCAACAATTATCCAATCACTAGTCAGCCAGTCAATCACTTCACTCACAGTTGTCACAAAATCACACTCTATCGCAAGAAAAAAAGTTGGCAATAAAAAAGTGGGTGAAAAAGCTGTTTACACTTATTTTAGCTTTGTGATAACGACACACGAGCATGGATGGAAAAGACACTCATTCATTCAAAGAAGGCAAGGGAAACGGAATAAGAATAAAAATAAAAATGTTAAAGCACACGCTAAGTGACGTGAAACACATGAAAAAGAGTGAGAAAAAAAAGTGATAAAAAAGTTGTTATTCCACTCACTACGTGCTCTACTGATTGAGGCTTGTACGATGATAATATCAGACGACTTTAATGTAATAAATCTTTTATAATCCTCGTCGTAGATAAGATGCTGCCTCAAGTTTTTCTCGACTTTTACTATCTCTGCTATTGTGTGTGCAATTTGTGCTCAAAATAAAAGCATTAAATGGTGGAGGAAAGGAATCTAAAGCTGTAATTTTGCTCTGATTTCAAACATCTTTATGTGTGATGATGTGGTAATGTTAATTCCACTTGGAAAGTGTTGCTTAAGCTTGTAGATGAGGGTCTGTGAATACGGAATGAGAATGGGGATGTGAAATATGATTTTCGAGAGGAATATAATTTTTTGAACATTTTGCTTTAATAGTGCGCTTAATAATCAAATTTCTATTAAAGAGTGCGTTTTGGAATCAAATTTCAATAAAAGAGTGTGTTTTGTAATCAAATCTCGCTTCAAGAGTGTGTTCAGGAAACAAATCGTGCTTCAAGAGTGTGTTCATTAAACAAATCTCGCTTCGAGAGTGTGTTCAGCAAACAAATTTTGCTTTAATAGTGTGCTTAGTAATCAAATTTCGATTAAAGAGTAAGTTCAGTAAAGAATTTTACTCTCAAAGTATGTTCAGTAAACAAATTTCTTTTCAAAAATGCTCATTAAATACACAAAATTTTACTCCATCATCCCATCCATGAAAAAAGCTTTACCACATCTGGATACATAAAACATTTACTGCTTGAGGATTTTCTGAGGATGAAACAATTATGTTGCGATATAAAGTTGTCTGTTAGCAACACGATCGCAAATTCTTCACCATTTAATTCACATTAATGACTTTAATATGGCACAAATTGGGGGGATTCAGACAAGCTAGTGCTTAAATCAATATTGAAGCTTGTGATGAACATCCATGACAGATTTTTTGATATTAAAAAGTCAAATTTCAATTAAATTCTTTTTTATTCCTATTACTGAATGCTCATTTTTGTTCAAATATTGACACTGAAGTACGAATATTGACATTGTAAGTGAGAAATTGAGATGAAAATGGAATAATTTTCAAAAATGTGGGAGTGATGATGGAAAAAAGTGTTTGAGGATGATTTAAAATTCTTGTGATGTGAAATTAGAAAGTTGAGTATTGAGGGAGTTAAGAGGGATGGAGTGTTAAGTAAAGATTTGAGCTTATGATTGTCTAATTGACTTGTATATTGACTATTCTTAAATTGATATTGCGGAATGATTTCAATACTTCAAGATATATAAATTTTCTTTCTCAATAATTCAAAATCGGCTTAACATTTACTACATGCCAATTAAAAAGTACTTAAAAGATCAAACATAAATCAGCATTAAAAATCAAAAAAGAACTTAAAATTATTAAAAATATAAAATTTCTACCTGTAAATGCAAGAATTAAAAGTTGTTATCGAAAAACTTCAACAAAACTTGTCTTCAATTCAATTAAAATGATTCTCAATCAATTAGTCTTTCCTGAGCTTCTATCCTTATTGTCTCACGTTTCCACTTCCAAAAAGTTTTTTTTCTGTGCTATAATAAAAATTTTACGGTACGAAACGAAAAAGTTGTTTGTTGATGTTTATCGGAAAGTTTTCTTTGACAATATATCTTGGTATCGATTATAAAAGTTTTTATTATATCGGTTTAAATCGCATTCAACTGATGCTATTATGTCGACATTATAGTTTTAAATAGTTTAAAATTGAACGATGAACATGGATTGGAATTGTTGACATGAGAATTGATTGTAATTGATATTGAGTGTTGATGGGGATGTGTTGGTTTGAAAACAAGATTAATTAAAGACATTTTACAGTTTATTATGATTAAATACGATGTTTATTGTTCTACAACTAGAAACAGACTTAATATTTGTATGAAGGGGGCTAACAACTTGCAAGGGGGAAATAAACTAATCATAGTTGCATACATAGTTTGAATATGAAATAACCGTTAATATATTCTGGACTGGGTCAATTAAAATTTTAGCTTGAATTTCTTAAAACTGTAGACAACTTCTCGTTGAATTTAGACCAATACTGTTCGAAACATTATTCGCGATAGAAACTCAAAACTAGAGGAAAATTCAATTTAGAATAAATATAGCCTTATTGCATTTATAACTTACTTATTCATAAATCCACATATCATTTAATAACTAAATTACATTCGAGCTACTCTAACAGTTCATGAAAAACATTTAAAATTAAGTTAACAGTGTGAAAATAGAAGCCAAAAAATCCACAATTTATACATTTTCTTGAACTGCAGCCAATTTATTTATTGCACTTTCCTACCCGTCCACACACACATACTCATTATAATTATAATCATATATAACTTTCATTCCAAAACAGGAAGTAGCGGCAAACAGAAGCTTGAACAACTGGATTCACAAAATAATGGTTTGTATAAATCAAATCGCAAAAAAAAATCATGGCCCATTAAAAATGAAAATGAATGCTTTCAGAAGCCAATTTTCCAAGGTTTGCCGAGCCAATACCCAACATAACTGTGACTGTAGGTAGAGATGCTTTACTGGCGTGTGTCGTGGATAATTTGAAAGGTTATAAGGTATGAAAAATTTCCTTAATTTTGTATATTTTCATTTTATTTCATTATTTTAACCTCCGTCTATTTCCCGTTAGCCAAATTCATTTAGTGAGATTTGCATTAAGCTAATTGCCAACTTTCTCTATTGCCACAAACTCTTCTTCCATTTCCTTTTTGTCCTCCTTCATGTGCTCTTTTTTTTAGTCACACATACATACACTTGCTGAATTCTTTTTCGGATTTTTATCGCTTGATGTTATCCCAAGTTAATGAGATTTGCTCGTGGCCTTCGTTTAAAGTTCTCTTGCTGCTGCTCTCATTTATTTGTTTTCTTTTCAACTTTTCTTTCTATTCGCTTGCAATTTCGACAAATTTATATCGTTTCGTGATTCATTCTTCTCATTCTATCCCCCTTACACTTCATGTCTAGCTTGTTCTGTTCTGTCTATTATTGCTCTAGCAAGTTTCTAACGTGATCTGATTTACCAAAAAGTATTTCTTTTCATTCGTTTCTGTTTTGTTTTGCCATTTTTCCAGCATTTGTTTTGGAGTCTGTTAAATTTATCCTTTTTCAGAGCCATTGGGATGATTATGTTAGAATTTAACGTCAATTTGTGGAGATTTAGTGACGTAGGATCTAGAATATCGAACTTCATGTTTGTGAATGTTGCTAAATAGCTGACAAAGTTTAACATAGATTTGCTAGATGAGTTCGCGTCAAACCACTGTACCACTGCATTCAATCATAGACCTACAATTAATAGTGGGATCCGAACCACTCCTTTGATGACATTTCTGGTTGTAGCCTACAAAGGTCCTTCCTTTGTGAGCCTAATTTGCAGTACATATGATTCGAAAAGGACAAATTTTAAATTTCCCAAACCTAGAATCGAACCCATGATCGTTGTTTCAATATTGCAATAATTAGGCACCAAAGTACTAAATCATTCTGCCACCGAGCCATTTCAGCTCATAAAAAAAGGAAACGTCCTTTCGAAAATCAAATCAGATGGTTAGCCTAACCTTAACATGATCTCTATTTAATATACCGGATCTATCTGCATTTAATAATTTCCATTACACACTTATTCACACCTATTTAATTGTTCCTGCATCAACAAAGCATTTTCTGCTGTTTTCCATTAAGTTCCTTTGAAAACGGCACAAAACAAATCCATTATAATTCAAACAACAAAAAACCTCTTCCAACTGGGTCTGAATACACAACAAAAAAAAACTTAAATTATTTTACTTTCTACTGTACAGAAATTTCCTTTATTATCCATTATACCAAGTTGAAAAATAAAATGAAACACAAAACTCAATCAAGTTTATCGAATTTGCCAATGAATGGCAATTTTCTTCTTCTATAAATTTTATTTTCTTGTAGTTGTTTCATTTCTTTAAGTTACAGACATAATTTCATTTCTCGTTCATTTTCTTTTCTTCTCGTCGACTATTTTAGAAAAGAATTCCAATGGAAATAGTCGGAAGTGTAAATTCCATTTGGTAAAAGAAAATATCTCAATTCGATTTCTTGTGCTGAAAAGTTTAAATTAATGAAATTTCAATGATCGATCAATTCCCGTGGAAATACTTCAAATTCCATTAATGAAATGAATGTAAATGTTAGCTCAATGGACATGTCAAATATTTACTTGACGTTTTCTGTTTAATTTTAGCTCTTTTGTGAAATGAGTCGTTAAAGGGGTGACACAAAGTTTTGTGAAATGTTAATTGGATAATAAAATTTTATTTATTCTGACTACTTTGTGGCGTGACTTGTGTTCGATCTTAAAATAAAAAAAAGTTCTCTGTTTGATTTAAGAATTAAGAAAGAACTTCAGTAAGAATATTGTTGGAAAGATTGAAGATTCTAAATTCGATGTCAAGTTCGTTGATGGCTTCGGTTCAATTGAAAGATAATATATCTCACAGACTGACTCCTAAATTCAGCTTTGAATTGATTCTAGTTAACTTCAACGTCTGATTTCATGTAATTGTACCCGATCGGCACACACATTGAAATGTATGCCACCCAGCGGCCGGGTTGATAGCATAATTAAAACCATGTGTCAATTGGCTGCAACTTGGTTCTAATTATTTTCCTAGCTATTTAAAATTCCCAATATCCTATACATTATTTATTTTTTGTAGCTGAACAACAAAACTTTATCCTTATGTATGACATATTTTAACTAAACTAATAACAATTTCTGCTCTAAGGTTGCATGGGTGCGAGTCGATACACAAACAATTCTGAGTATTCATCACAATGTAATTACACAAAATCCACGAATAATTCTCACACATAACGATCATCGTAGTTGGTATTTGCACATACGAGAAGTTGAGGAGTCTGATCGAGGATGGTATATGTGTCAAGTATGTAGTTTTCGTAACTCAATTGCAGCATAAAATTTTAATGAAATATTTTTTTAACTCAATTCAGGTCAACACAGATCCCATGAGATCGAGAAAAGGCTACCTTCAAGTTGTTGGTAAATATTGTGACTTTATTAAAAGCACTAGAAAAAAAAACTCAAAACCACAATTCATATTTCCAGTTCCACCAGTCATCATTGAATCATTGACAAGCAATGATTTAGTTGTGAGGGAAGGAACGAATGTAACGCTTCAATGTCGAGCAAAAGGCTTTCCTGAACCATATGTTATGTGGCGACGTGAAGATGGCAATGAGATGTCAATTAATGGTGAAAATGGTAAAAAAAACATAGGAAAACTCTCATCTGTGCTGAAACGTACAGATTTCCCTTGATAAGCATTTTTAACCTTTTTTCCCTCTTTTTTTGCTTCTTTTATTACATTGTATGTTGACGATAATTTAACCGTACTTAAATCTAGTAAATGTTGTTGATGGAGAAATATTGTCAGTAACGAAAGTTAGCAGACTCCATATGGCTGCTTATTTATGTGTAGCATCGAACGGAGTTCCTCCAAGTATCAGCCGGCGTGTGATGCTCAAAGTGCAATGTAAGCTGTTTTTGCTAATTTTATATCCTTTTGGATTATTTTGGGTTACTATTAAGATTCAGGATAGTGCAGGGGGATAACAACTTGATAAAATTTTTTTAAAAAATTTCTAGACATTTTTCAAGACTGGTTGAAATATTTTATTTTACCTTTTAAAATTATTTCTCATCAAGTTGTTCTCCCCCTTGGACAACCCAAGAATTTTCTTATACTTTATCTTGACATTGAGAAATGAGAAGCTTCAGCATTTATTTCACACCAATTCTGTTGCTTCTTTCCTTGTCTTATTAAATTTTCTCATAAATTTCATGCTTCTTCAATTTTTCTTCAAAGTCCCTCCAATGCTATCGATTCCAAATCAATTGGAAGGCGCATATGTAGGGCAAGATGTCATACTTGAGTGTCACACGGAAGCATATCCAGCATCTATCAATTATTGGACTACTGAGAGAGGGGATATGATTATTTCAGGTGAGAGTTTGTTTCTTGTTGAGCATTTTTTTCGTTCATTCAAAATAATCAAATTTTATGACTTTTTTTCTCGAGGCATAAAAAAGTTTTATAAGGGTTGTTCCCAATAGAATCAACCTTCTGGTTATAAATTGATTTTTGGACTTAAAAAGTCTTAAAAGTTTCACTTAAAGCCTCTTTAAAAACCCGAAATTCTTTCACACACCTTCGACTCATTGTTCTTTAAGAAGGGGGACAACAGCATGATGGAAAAACTTATTATTGAAATTTTTTCACAGTATCCAATCGACTTTAAATTAACATCATGATAGAAACTTCGTATCAAAACTATTTTTCCATCAAGCTGTTATCCCCTTCGTCTTTAAGTCACCACAACCACAAAGAACCGCATGATATTGTTTACAAATACGGACAAATACAAATATTTTCATATTATATTTTCATAATATTAATTTTATCCCACATCCACACCTCCAGATACCTCAAGGGCAGGCGACAAATACGAAACAATCTCAACAAATAGCGGCTACAGCAAGTTCATGAAACTCAAAATACGAAATGTTGGTCCAAATGATTTTGGTTTTTATCGTTGTGTCGCGAAAAATTCATTAGGTAAGGAAATGGCAGCAGCGATTATCGATTTTTCCGTTTTCAACTTTAATTTCATGACTTTATTTTTTGTGTATGCCTTGCAGGTGAAACAGATGGAATGATCAAATTAGATGGTAAGTTGGTGCTCTTGCGGAACTTTAAAAATTAAATGAGATGGAACTAATGAAGAAACTTTTCTACTTCCATTTACTTTCTTTTGATAGAAATCGCAGCACCAACGACAACTCTCACAACGGAACTGACATTTTTAAGTAAAAGTAAGAATTTTATTTTTGCATCATTTTTGATAAAAGTAAAACTTGTTCCTTGAGCATCGGTTACATGATGTTTCAGTTCCAATTTAGGAATGTGCAGCTTCAAAGGCTTTTGATACTTAAGCAATTCTTTCTTTCTCATTTAATTTTCCACTTCAGTTAAAAATCGAATCATCAAGAAACCGAATCAAGCAATTGTGGATTACACGGATGAGTGGCGTAACGGTGAAAATGGTATTTAGACATTTTATTTTGATTCCGATTTTAATTTTAATATTTGAAGAATAATTTTAAATCCATAATTTGTCTTGGCTCACTGACTTTCCTTTATCATTCATCAATTAACAATCCTTTTGTTCACTCATTTAATTCCCATGCGTTTGTCATGTCCGAACATGTGTTGCATGCTGTGCTTTTATGTGTTTTTGATGGCACCAACAAGGATCATGTTTACAATGTTTTAATGTTCACGTCAGATGATGTGATATTGCTCATTTCGCTCATTAAAAATATATCTACGTGGACAAAAATCAATATTCGAATGTGAAACATTCAAGTTGGGATGTAGTTTTGGTTTGAAGGATAACGCGCATTTTTGACGCGAGAGGAGGTGTAATGTAGAGCATTCGAATGTGTCTCAATTAGTCACATCAATCTTAAAATGTGCTTTAAAAATCAAGCAAATTAAAGAAATTACCAATCTTTCATTATGACTGCATTTCTATTAAATTAAATCCTTATAACCTCAAAGTTTCAAATGCAAAAAATATCCACAGATTAACCAAAATACATCCAAAAAACACAACTTCTCCGCAAAGCCAGTTAAAAAATACAAAATAAAGTGAGCGCTTAATCGATAACATCAGCAACAGCAGCATCATTATCATTATAGTCTCATTATATTATCCCCATTCATTCACATTTTTTGCACCTATTGAAATAAATTTTAACTACATTATTTATCGATAAAAAAAAATCCAACAGATTATAATGGCGATTATATGCAATCATCACGGTCACCACCATCAATACGACATCCACCTGGTGCTTTCCATAATACCGCTATCGCTTCACGTGTCCTAACAGCTGTCACAAATCGAAATGAAATTTTCATACGTCTCATATCATTAATTAGTTGTACGTTGTTCATTCAATTTTATTTCATGAGATTTATGACAAGTGTAACGGTGAATAGGTGAAAATTAATTATCACATGAATATGAGAAGGATGGTTTTTTGCTCATTAGCGATAAAATATTAAAACAGATTTAAATGAGATTTTTAATCGTTATATAAATATTTTTTTTTGAAAACTTTGTGAAACAAATGGTTGCCGTTGATCGGATAACTTAGGAGGGTGAGTTTGTAAAAATTTGGAATAATTTGATGATCTTTTGATTGCTAAACGAATTCTAAGTTAAAATTTTATTACTGAACGTACTCTCACTTCGAAAAGTGTTTCTGCTATTTTCACGATTAAATCAGTGAAGTTTGTTAACTTTTTGATTATTTCAGTTTTAAAAAAATGGCAAAAATTAAACACAATCCTTTTTTATTCTCAAAAAACTTTAAAATTCCAAATTTTTCACAAAATTACTCTCAAAACTGTACATAATATGATGAAAAAAATCAAAAGTGAACGTGAAATCTTAAAAGTGATGGAATTAAATACATTTTTCCATCACAAAGCCGCTTCAAAGCATAAAAAGTAAAAATTTAATCATTATAAAAAAAAATCTCAAATTGGCATATCAAAATGTAGAAACTTCCTTTTGCATAATTTGAATATGAGAATAAAATTTGTAGCTTACAAACTGAAAAACTAAATTAAATCAAATCATTAGTGAAGCATGGATGAATGGAGACATGAATGAAATGAAGTGAAATTGAAATTGACGCCAAAAAACTAATTTAGTGATAAAAATAAAATTCATTTCAACAGCAACTAACAATAAGATGTAGCATAATCTTGTATATCTATCATCAGAAGGGGAGACAAAAAAAATCAGAAAATGGAAATGAAATTTTCTTTTTTGCTCATATAACAAAATAAAACTATGAGTATGGGAATATATAGAGAACGACAATGATAATAATGCAAGATTTAACAAACTTTATGATGAAAAAAAAACTAAAAGAAATGAAAAAAAAAAAATATGAAGTTGACATTTTTGTGATAAAATCAAGTCGCTGAGCAGCGAATGAATGAAATAAGAATAAAAAGTTCTTCGTTTTTCGTGTTTGAGGACGAAAAAACTAAAAAGAATTCATTTTCTGATTGCTTTTAAGAGCAAGTGTTGCTAACAAAATTTTTGAGAAACTTTTTTCTCGCTGTAAACTTTTTTTAAAAGCAAAATTTGCAGTTCAAAAGTTTTTAATAGTCTGACAGGATATACTAAATCTTAGATTGCAGTGAAGGCCTTGAAAACAGTTTTCTTGTTTTTAAAACAATTTTAATGGTTGTTATTGTTGAAAATTTTAAAAATTTGTAACTGAACGCACTCTTACTTCAAAAAGCTTTTCACTGATTTTAAATAGTAAACTCCTATAATTTGTTAATATTTTGATTGATTTTGGTTTAAAAAAGTGGCAAAACTGTTTGTCAATTATTCAAGAACTACGAAAATTTCAATTTTTTAAGTAATTTATAGAAAAACTTTTCAGACTATTGAAAATTCTTCAATTTTTGGTTTTAAACTAAATCTCAAGCCCCTCATTAAGCATTCTAACTCCCATGCTAACTGTCACTCTACCAAATTAATGTCCATAAAGTCCAAAAGCAAATTAATGCGTCTCCCAAATTTCCATATTGAAATAATAGAAACGAACAAGAAAATTTATAAATGGAAAAAAGAATCATGCATAATTCAAGAATGAGCAGCAACAAAAGAGCATCAAAAAGATTTTTGTAAATAAATTAAATAATAAAGAAAAAAAAATGAGGTTTGTAAATAGAGACAATTGCAGTTCTGTACTATGCAAATAAACAAGAACAAAAGTTATAGTGTTGTGAGATATGATGGATAAGTAAATTGTATGTCAAATGTAATGTGTATATATTCTCAATTACATCTAAGTACATAAAACAATATAAAAAGCATAAAAAGGAAAAATAATGTATAATTTTATGCTTCCGGAATGTGAAACTGTTATTTTTTGTTGATACTCGCTTTTTGTTGATGAAATGTTTGTTGTGTTTTAGTTGAGGGTAGGAAGATTTTTTTCGGAATCATTGGGAAATTTGGAGATGAGAAAAAGCCATGATTTAATAGTGTTTAATCAAGAATTTCATTAGATTTTACAGTTTTAATTTAAAAACTGCTGCTTTATGTTTAAATTTTTTGCTGAACGCACTCTCTCCTCAAAGAGTTTTAGTTGATTTTAAAAGGCTAAAATTGATAATCTCATTGATCATGGTGTTAAAATCAAAAGAAAAAGTTGGCAGGATTCAATCAATATCACATTTTATATCTGTAAGCTCATGTATGATTCAGTTTTAACAATTTTGTAAATAAATAAGTTCAGCACGTGCGTTTTAAATTTTAGTAGTTTTCAAATTCTATAAATCCGTTATTTATAATTTTGAAATTAGATTTTTCTAAATCATGCAACAAAAAAAAACAGAAATAAATATTAATGTTGATTCTAACCTATAAATCTATCAAATTTCTCAATTACTACGGAAAAATACTCCCAAAACTCAATATTTCAAGGTTCTCTCCTCGTTATTTTTCTATACATATGATACGATATGAAAACAATGAATATGATAAATAGATAAATGAATTATATATGTCGCTATGTCGCATATATTGTGGATAAAAATATACATAGATGAAAAATTTACCCAAAGAATTAAACATCCAGCTTATGTTGCTTTCCTTCCTGAGCTAAAAAAAAAACTCGTGAACAAATAAATAAAAATAATGAAAAAATATAGCAAAAATTTATAAAAAATACAACAGCCAATTTATTATGAGTTAAATAAACACAATGTAACCTACAAATATTGATAATGTTATGTATATGTATATCAGAAAACCAGCAGATGAACAATATATTAACAGATAAAAGATAATAATAAAAAATCGGAAGTGATATGAAGATTGTTTGTTTCTCAAAAGCCACTAAGGAAATTGAATGAAGCATCGAAATCTGATCTGATATCAAGGACTTGTTAAGACCTAGACACTAAGAATTCGTACTTACCAGGTGACTTTTTAAGGATTTAGAATAAGTTTTAAGGCTTTGGCATTGAAAAATCTAGAAAATTCAAAAATCCTGAAAAAATCAACTTAAAAAATTTCAATCAAAAATATTTTCAAACAAAAAAATATTTCAAGGGTGAAAAGTCTTTCCTGATTGAATTAACAGTAATCAACATCATTGATGCTATAATATTGGAGATTCAGTTTTTGTTTTGCTTGAAAAAAAAATGAAAGAAAATAAAAAGAGAAATGAAAAAAGTGAACAAAAAAGTTTTATTGAAGATTTTTTTTTATTCTGAGATAGAAATGAACTGTTGCCGATTTATTCAGTCATGCTGTGTACATTCAATAATCCTCTTTTTATGCTTTTGTCGTTCTTCCTTGCTTCCATTTTCACATATGGATGATGCCATGCATTACCTATTATTTTGTTATTGAACGTGTACAGTCACAAATAAATATGTGAGGATTTTTTTTCAGCATTTTTGTTTTTTTTTTTGGAGATGTCACCGATATCGATGTATGTGGAACTATCGATTATGACTTTTCCTACTTTTTGTCTACTGTCAATGACAATTGTTTGCATTTGTTTTACAGTAATTCCACTTAAACATATGGTCGAGATTTTTCTACATTCAAACAAATCGCGTGGACCACGGAAAATTGAGGATTCAAGTCATTGCCATCGTAAATCCTCACTAATCCTCAGAACGATAAAAATAAAAACTTTTTACAGCAAAACTCAACAAAATCCTCTCAGCTCAAATTTCTAATTCAAATCGCCATTATCGCCTCCCCGCATCCTTCAATAATCAAACTTTTTACTTCCTTTAACAGTTCCACTCCGCATTCATGGATGAAGATATGAATCATATTATAGCTGAACAACACAAGAATGGCATTAAATGCTTTCTTCTTCCTTACTTTATGTTTAATTCATATTTTGTTTCAAACTGCTGCTTCTGATATTTATCTGCTCGAATTAACTTTATCGCTTCTTGGTGATTCTGGTGTTTTTGGGAGTTAGCTGATATTTTAGGGGAAAATGTGACTGATTTTATGGTTTCTTAAACTATTAGGTTTATTTTTCAATAGTAAAGTTGTGATCAAAAGCTTGGCTCAAATTTGGTATGGTAAGTCGAAGGTCGTCGTTTCGAATCCAGCCATTTCCAAATTTGTTCTTTTTCAGAAGTTTAGATACTTCGACTGCTTAATGTACGAGATCAAGCCATAATTGGGCATTTTGGGCAACGTTGGATTAAGGAACGGATCAGGAACTTGAAGTGTAGCGGGAGAAAAAGGAACGAAAGCTACAAGATTACCTTATAATGGAATATTGTCAGAACGAACCTGAAATATATCACGTTATGCCCACAGGAGATTGAAACGAGAGCCTGAATTTAATCGAAACCTAGATTTGAAGATTAGAAGCTTGATTCTACGTCACCCATAGTGATATGAAATGTATCACTAATCAATGTAAAAAGTAAAACATGTATAAATACTAATTCTTCCGGACGGTAACGTCGACAAATAAATAATAATAATAAAACATTCTAGAACATCTTGATCAGCAGTCAAACAACATGTCTAAAGCAAGAAGTTTCCATACCCAGTTTCGAATGCGCGATCGCTGTGTCGGTATTGCAATAATTAGGTACCAAAGGACATGAGAAACTTCAGTTCACAAATATCAAGCAATGCCTTCCCAAAAACTGCGTTTTGTCCAATCAATCACATATTCAATCCAAAATCTTATCAACAATTCCCAATGTTCATAAAAATCAAACTCAGTGGATGATTTACTTTTAAAAATGTCCATCTTCACATCTTACATTCCATCATGATCTCCATGAATATATAAAGTGTAAAGAGAAAAGGATCAAAAAGTTTACAACAAGAATAAGTTATGCTACTGATGATGCCTTCCATAATAATTCCTCGATTGCTTGTTTGGTGTTGATTATATGAAGATGATGATGATGATGTTT